AGTAAAACAAAATATATTCCTTTATATAAAAATATAACATCTGAACATTCCTTTATGTCACATTCTCCACAAAAAAGCCCCACACTAATTTTAGTAAACCCTACTAATATAAGCAGCCTCAGTCACTGCTGTTTCTTTTATTTTTTTACTTAAAGATTGTTTAAGAGTTCCAAGCAATGTTTAAAGAGAACTTGGGCGCTTTAATTGAAATGGCACGAGGTGCTGAACGTTTAACAACGGTGTCTTTCAAACCCTTTGTCCATTATGCACTGAAATGCCTACCAAAAAAAAAAAAAAAAAAGAAGCAAAGAAGGAAGAGGTTTTCAATATTCTCATTAAATTCTGACCCTCTCTCATGGTTCCTGTAATTGAGTTTCACTTCCAGTTGTCATGAAGTTTTGCAGGGTAGACAAACCAGCAATTCACTGGCAAATGTCTGTATACAGGGAGAGAAATAAACATTTGAGAAGTACTCAACCCACTTTCTTCAGATATCGGGGAGAAAGACAAAAGAACAAACTCAAGCAATGTACAACTGAAGAAGGAACAGCTTTCACCAGGAAAACTCTGCTCTGGACGGCTGCGTACCGCTGCAGGAAATCCAGTCTGTGCAGCGATGCCAGACAAATCGTCACGAAATCGCGTGTCAGAGCTGACTGCGAGGTGGCCATCTGAGTAGTCGTACCCCTCACACACATTCTGTTACTGCTGACTTACCTGATTTGGGCCTTTTACAATTTTACCTGCAAAACTGAAGAGAAGAAAGAAGAGCTTACCTATAAAATGTGTCCCCAGTAGAAGTAAGGGGGGGCAAAGGGGGGATTACTGGAGTTAAGGAGCTGTTAATTACAGACGGAGTAAGACCCGACTGCTGAAAAGAGCTCTGAGGAGGGCCTGGTTGGTTCATTCATTAAAACCAGTACAACACTGACTGAAGGTCTGTGATCACACCAACAGGCAGCCACAGCTCAGACCCACAAACGACTCCGGGCACTGGGCTGAGGCGTCCGAAGATCCCAGATTACAGCACTCTGTAACTCACTGCACGTTACTCGCAGGAGAAATCCGAACCCAGGTTTCCTCTCATTTCTTCCCATACTGCTACCTTGCCCTTGTGTTAAAAACAGCACATCTGGTCCTCCCGGCTGCAAACTTAGCTGTGTGCATCAAGCAGTTTCGCAGAGTTTCACCACACTTTTACTGTACCTTTCTCAACACAGAAATATAAAACCAGCCTGTGCGTGTCCAATACAGCCCCCAGCTGGTACATTTTGCCTTTACCTGACATTCAGTTGGAAGCTATTATGGTCCTGGAGACAGGACAGACGGGAATATTTCACAGGACCTTTCCCTAAAAAAAATTGGGTCCTTCCAATTGCCCCAGAGCCCTACCCTCTTGGAGCAGCTTAGGCAAACCCACTCCCTGGCCAGTATTTACACCCTTTGAACGTTTGTACGCGTGGTTATAATCCCATAAGCGGCAAGATGGCCATCGTGGTCTCACAAAGGCGAGCCAGCATGAAGGAGCCCAGCATTCCGGCTGCCACGTGCTTGCACGCAGCCGCCCGAGGTTTGGGTGGGTTTGCTAAAAGTCACTGAACCAAACAGACCGAGTCCTTGCTTGGAAACGCCACTTAAACACAGGCCACTAAGGTGTCGAACTGACAGTGGAGAGTCGGGCTGAGTTCACATACTTAGACCCTGGAGTGAAATGAACACACTTGCAGCCCGAGCTGCGTCCTGGCCACTCACGTGCCCTGCAGATCCAGAGGCGAGCCCGTAAGGCGCCCGTGCCGTGGTTCCGTCGCTCTGCAGCCAGGAGAGCCACCTTCTCCTCGTGCTGCAGCTCCCCGCAAGGACGGCCCCGCGAGCGCTCCAGCGCACAGCACTCTGCAGAAGCGCCCAAGCCAAGTCTGTCCTACGCCTTCCCCCGGCTGCAAGCCCCATCGGCTACTCTGGCAGCAATTAAATTATTTTTCACATGGATTCTAAGAAAGCAGAACTTGCTAAAAGCACCAAACTAGCAGCGCTCTTCCTCCACCTTACACTGAGGAGGACATCAGCTTTCACAGCAGGTCCCAGAGCTACAGGACTGCACATGGGATACTCCAGATTGCAGCTCCTTCTTTGGTACTTTGGTCTCAGCGCTCAATATTTTACGCAGCCCCTGGCAGGTCCCTTCTCTTGCATGGCCTACTTATATTTTTTTGCTGGGTGGGGTATTCTAACAAAATAAATATTGCATCAGGGCATGTAAATTTTATTAAACTACACAGAGAACAGGTGCCCCTTTAAAGCCCAACTATTTCTCCTCTACGGAAAGCACATGTAGCAGGTTCCCCAGTGTCAGGTGTAGACTAAAGCGATGAAAGAAAAATACATAAATGTTTATTAAACCTTTGTTGCCATTCACACCACCAACTTTCACACCCCAGTGGCAAGCTGTTAACGAATTCCCATGCTGTTCCAGAAGACTTTTCACAGCTCCTGTCAGAAAAGGGAAGTTTCACGAGGGCAGCACTCGCTGGAAAAGTCTCTGCTCTCGTCACTATCAACAAAAAATGTTCACAGCCAGCTGTGTGTGGAACAAACGTGTCCCGCTCAAACTGTGTGGGAATAGAGAGCTTCCAGTGACACATGGGGCCACCTTCACATGCTGACACAGGGACACCTACTCGTGTCAGTGTTTTGCACGGCACATTGCTAAAGCTTTACCACTTTGAAAAATGCACCTGAGAATCTTCAGCTTCCCATGGTGATCCTGTAACTCAGCTGAACATAAAGCATAAAGAACTAAGTGACTGTTTATCAGTGCATTTTACTAAATGAAACTGATCCCAAGCACTAGGACAGAAGTAGATTTTTCCTATAACCGGAATGAATAAAGCAAATAGCTTTTTTTTTCCTCTTCATAATATCAGAAAATTGTGTTCCAAATAAATCCTTGTAACAACAATTTCGCAGCACGAATCTGTCGACCCTTGCTGATAGATTATAGCCAAATATTCTACAAATTTTCTCATTAAACTAAACAATCTCGAAGATCTGTTCGCACTCTGCCTGCAGCTCCTCTCTTAGCTTGCAGACAGCCAGCACAGAAGCAAGAGCCCGCAGAACACGCCGCATACTTCAGCTTCATGTCTTAAAATCAGCACAGGATGTAGAGAAGACTCTGGAGAACTGGTCCTTCAGCGTGAAGGTAAGTAAACTGACCAGGTAAGAGACTTGTTAGCTAACGGACCTTTAAGGCATTTTCTGTCATTTCTATGTATTACGCCATCTGACATTTTCTAGGGGAAGATAACTGCTGCCTTAAAGACAAAAATGCCAAAGTGTTTTCTTTCAGACTAATCACAATTAGAGATTCAACTTTTATTTTCTAGACTCGTTATTGAAGCAGAACGCCAGGCGACACATTAGTACCTCAGCCTCCTCGTTGCCAAAGCCCACGGTTCAAACCCGCAGTGGCCGTTCCCTCCCTGCACAGCGGCTCGTTTCCTTCCCGAGTCAATCTGCCTCTCCTCCCCGTCACTCTCACAGCAACGAGATGCTGAGAAGCCCGGTTCCCCCCAGCGAGACGCTCAGCCAGCGTGGATCACTGCACTGAACGGCGTGTCTCCTTGCAGCAGGTTTCTCACAAAGCCCATTCCCCTTCGGAAGCGCCAAGAATCACATCTTGGCCACCTAACGCAGCGCGTTCCACGTGCTGGCTCGCCGCGCGGTGAGCGTTAACGGAGATGGATAGCCCTGTCAGAGAGGAAGCTGGCTCACCGGGATGGAAGCAGTGGGATGCGCTGACCTTTTACATTCAGAAAAAAAGCGTCCCTAAACCAACATGAAACGGTTCACATTAAAAAACAAAACAACTACCTTCTTGCAGAGCTTTTATTACCGTGCTGTGGAAATAAACACATGTGCCTGAGCTCTGCCTGTGTGACGAACCTGAGCTTCTCCCAGAGCAGAGGCCCACAGAGGAAATGAATCATTATCACCGTGTTTGGAAAGAGGTTTGTACTGGGGAGCCTGTGCCACCAACCACTGCCCGGAGCTCCCAGATTCAAAGCCACTGCTGCTCCCTCTGCTCTCATGTTCCAATACTCAGTCACACAAAAAAATCTAAACCCAACAGGTAAAATTCAAATACCCAAGCAAAGCTGCTATTAAACTACTCTAAATGTGCACAGGTTTTACTGGTGACGTGGGTACAACACTGAAACATGCAGACTTATCGACCAAAATAATAGGTATCAGAATAAACTGTTTGGTAAAAAAAGCCTCCTGAAATGCAAAGTTCATTCTGGAAAGCTTTTTCCCAATCAACCACCTCCTACCTGTCCCGCTCAAGATTAGGTTTTTACATTTGGGTTTTTTCAAGCTGGTATTTTGGGTAGAGAGAGGAAAGCTTTGTGTGTTTTAAGATTCTGCTGCTACTGGAGAATCATCTCTAAGTGCAAGGGACTGCAGAGCTTTCCAGCACTGCTTTGCAATAACATAGAAGGTGAGTGAAAACCGACAAACCAGTACATTTAGCACTACAACTACTGTCCATAAAGACAGCCTGCACACATTTATAAAATCACTACACACACTGTGTGATCATAGACATCAAAAACCGTAATATGCTGTTCAAGATGGTGCTGGTATGAAGAGGAATGCTAGACACCATCCAGCTGTACACCTAGAGGTTCCTTCCAGCTCTTCTCTGCTGACTTACTTGAAGCAGCAACCTGCCTCGTGGCACAGAACAAACGTGTCATGAATACACTGACTGATCATTATCACCACATTTCACACTTCAGCAAGATCCAGCTAATGCTTTCTAGGCAGGCTAACAAGGTAGGGCTTGTTGTACACCTAGTTTAAGATTAAGCAATCAACACAACTGATACAGCCACTTCCAAGATTTACCACCAATTTTCTTGCTTTCCCATTACATCGAACAACCTCAGGTGCTATCGTCTGCCAGTGCAGAGAAGGGGGAAAAGAACTTTATCAAATACCTTGTGCCTGAGCTGCAGAACTGTGGGAATACCCCAGAGCCAGGAGCGCTGTCTCCACCAGCTGGCTAAAGAGCACATCTTTGCGAACCAGAACGAACTCAGCATGTTCTTCTCGATTATCGTATTCAAGAGAGGCGTCCGACTGCTCCACCACACAGAAGACTGGAATCATCAAACCTAGATGGGGAAAAGAAAAAAGACAACAAAAAACCAACATCAATAAGAGAGGATCAAGAAGCGTGTCATACATCTCCGATTAAAGCTGTAAATTACAACACCTCCTAGAAGGCTCATCTTAAGTGGAACACTGCCTTTCTTCCCTGTGGGATAGCTTTTGTTTGCTTTCCAAGGGAAATACTGAAGTCTCATCACTTGACTCATTTAAAAACCACACTAAAAGCTCCAGAGAATACAATTCAGGAACAGAATCACAGTCAGCATAAGGACGAACAAGATTTCCTAATAAGACCTTTTCAACATCGCAGAAGTTTTCTACAGTTCCATGAATGTCCCTATTCTTTCAGGTCAGAGCTTCTCCACACTCAGCCATATAAAAACCCAACACACAGATGCTGCTTCTGCTTCTCTCCACACAGGGAGCACATGGAAGAATCAGCAGAAGACAGTCCCGTAACGCAGTTCTGGGCTGGGATGGGCTTATTTGCACACTTTCAGACCGTGGTCAGTCTTCTCAGCGTGCAAGGAGAACACCCTCGCATTGATTTTGCCAAAAACAGTAACTTGGTGCTGGCAGCCGACGGCTGCGCAGACCTAGCGAGGCCAACGGCTGCTCTCCTGCCGCATGTTCGAAGAGAGTGAGAACAGCTCTCTTTGAAAGAAGATCAAGGATGAGGAGGAACCACAGAAGTGGAAAACTCAGGGGGTGGTCTGGATTCAATTTTGCTCTGTTTTATTGTAAATTTACTTTTGTGGTTACAGGATCAAGTCATCTATGGCAATAAATTGTGGGGCACAAACTGAAAAGGATTCAACACTACAGAGAAACAAACCAACGTGCAGGAGAGGGCCCTGCAGCGCTCGAGGCACATGCGAGGAGGGAAGCTGGGACAGATGGAAAACCTACAGAACGCTTGCTCCTGGCAAGGCTGTGGTCAGGCAGGGCAAAGGGAAAACCATTATCTCCAGTCATAGAAACGTATTAATTGTTACGTACAATTGTCAGCCCCTAGATAACCCGGGAAATACTGGGGCAGAGACGAATCTCAGCCCAACACAGTTCTGCAAATGTGCTAAGGCTCGTAACAGGGCCAGGAAGTTCACCTCTAACTCTGTTCTTCAGAATGAAACACGCACGCTTCCAGTATACAACAACTACAAAAATTAACTGAGTGTATTTGTGAAAGGCCAGACACAAATCACTGCATTCCTGGAGCAGCACTTCATCAAAGGAAAACGAAGGAAACGCTACATCTCAGTTCTCCTTCCAGACAAAGTCAGTTTAATATCTTCAAAATCTCCTAGTGTCAGTAGCTTCAGTAATCAATAGTTACACAGCCCTTCAGAGGAGTCACCCTGCCCTGAAATAGATACGGTCACACCAGTAACAACTGCTAAGGGACTTAAATCCTCCTTGTCTTGAATTTACAGACTAGATTTACTCTAAAATATATTTTAGATCCCTGATTCTCACTTAGTGTCCGACCTGGAATGTCCCAATCTGACATTCTAACTGCAAGCCAGCAGCAGCTACAAGCCGTGATATTCAGCTGACGCATTTTAATTCTTTGTTTTAAAACACCTCCTGAAGTAATGTGTAAGTAGGTTACAGCATCACACTGATGCTGCTCCCTCTTCACTGCTTGATTCTGGGTTAAACCGACGCATTTTGTGAGTTCAAGCAGCCAAATTCTAACACACAGTGCGAAAAAAAAAGAATCTCAGTGGAAAAAAACCCACAAACCTCTAGGTGCTTTCCTGAAAAGACAGTGCAAGTCTGTTCCTCTGAAATCAATGACAAGATTTCTATTCCTATCAAATGTTAAAAAATTAATTCTATTTGCCCACAGATCACTTAACCATTACACTGAAATTTAACCTCTGTGATTACAGACTTTTAATCAACAAACTTCCCCTCCTGTTGAACATATACTCTGTCACAGCACTTCTGATGTCTTAACAAAATACTGAGATACTTGGCAAAATGCTGAGGCTACGATACCAGTTGTGTAAACCGTCTTTTGGTAAAATAGAAAAAGCAAGTGAATGCAAACTGACCAGAGGGATGCCACAGTGTCTGTTACTCTCCAGCTAGATCACTTCCTCGCCACACACCAGCCCGTCCACCTTTTCAGCACGGAAGTCGCACCAACCCTCCCCACTCACGTACCGTCTCCGCACAAGCAGGATCTCCAACGCTGCAACTGATGCCACACGTGACATCCCTTTACGGATGGCACGAAGGATGCACAGGACTCTTGCCCCTGATGACTTTCCTGCCCCTCCCCGCTGCCCGTGCTTGCAGAGACCCTGCTACAGAAGCAGCTTTTGCAAAAACATCTCTGAACTCAGTGACCCGGTGTAACCGATGATAAGCTGCTATTAGTACCTTAAAAACAGAGAGCAAAGGGCAGGTTACCACATGTGCTACTGCTAACTCATTCTCATGCTCTCACTATAGCGTCTGGAATCTTAATAATCCTATTTTAGTAAAAAATAACAGCGATCCAACCTATTTCCAAGTAAATCTCACTCCAAGGAAGTTCCATCTGCTTTGCTCTCTATTTCACATCAGAGAGTTACGCTATAACTTCTCCAGTGGATTTATTCAAACTTCTCTGTTTCCTGATGTTATCCAAAAATAAACTAACGCACTTTCAGCACGCTGGAATCAGAAGAAAAAGTATCTGTAGCCAAAAGTCAACACGCTCTTTACACGTTGATATCCACCGTGTCTTGCTCCTAGGTGTGCATACTACACCCCCAGCTCACTGCAGGGCCCTTGGAGAAGAGCAGTGCCCCTCAGCCTCTGCTCACTCTGTTTCCAGCTGAAGAACTGATGGCAACACTCAGACAGCAGCACGAGACCGAGCAACCCCGGTGAATTCCTGCGCGCAGCACTACGGCAGCGCCAGGCAGCCTTCCTCACAGATCCTCACGCTCCACTCTCCCCCCAGTGCCTGCTCAGCCTCCATGTCCCGCAGACAAAAGGCTCAGGTCCCTCCTGCGCTGACCTGCCGGGCACTCGCTCACCCAGATTCAGAGAGATGCTGCCGGCAGCGACGCCATGTAGCTCGAGGTAGATGATGTACGGCACTGATTTTCACACACAAGAAAACAAGGGGCAAGCTGAGGGCTAAAAAGGAAACAGTTTGTTTCCTTAAAGGACGAACACCATGTCGGAACGCACACAAAACAAGAACAGCCATCGCAAATTACACAACAGTCCTTTCTCCTTGATATTAATTCACTTAACTGACTTATCAGGAGCTCTTTTGTGCTTCTCACAGAGCTTTGACCCCATATAGACGGCACCTGCGTAAGATGCGAGGAAAGTGTAAATCGAGATCTACATGAAAGCTTTTATAAGGCTGTCCATACACAGCAAGAATTCCTTCTAATCCATGGAAGAGAACAGGGAAAAACTCTTCCCACTATATACTCAGAAGAACAGAACGGTCAGCAGTGACCAGTACCTTTGCGTAACATATATTTTAAGAACAAATCAGAGATGGGATTAGAGCTCTGCTGTTGCTTTCATGGAAAAACTGCAACATAAAGAAAAGATTTTTGTAAATGTGATCGCATTTTTTGCTGAGACTCTTCTAAGAGGCAGAGAAATTAAGAAGAAATAAAATATATATCAGAGATCTGTGTCCAAATGCACATCATCTCCTCATTGCCCATTTCCATCTACAGTTTTGTCTCACCAGGGAGCAATCTGTTCCTAAAAATCAAGAGAAACAGGTATTTCGAAGTGAAAACTCTGGACACTTTGCTGCATAAAACATTAACTTGTACAAAAAACTTGAAGCCAATGAGAAGTATTATCACACCGCAGTCACGGAGCTCCCTGGAAAACATTTTCAATTACAAGATTTGCAAATGGAAGTCGTGAATTTCTAGTGACCAACTAGAAGGACAAGACACAGCAGACATAAGAAGTCCTGCACTATTTCTTTTTTTCAGTTGCACATGATACTTTGTTCACCACAAGCTTTAAAGTGCACAATAAATGTGATATAATCAGTGTCATCTGCACATCGTCCACTTCCACAAAACCATCCTAGCTCGGCAGCTAAAGCAAGGAAGAGGAGGGTTAAGCTACTCCACCCACGCACCTCCCCAGCCATGAGACAGGGAGCAGCGCCCGCCTGTCCTACTGAGCGTAATACGGAGACCAACCACCGCGAAGGGGCATCAATAAAATTTGTGTCTTCTTAAATTAAAATCTGTTTCCATCAGCAAGAGTTTTTGAGCCCCGTCTAGGTGTCATTTGATTTAATCTTAATTTGAACAATTTCCAAACATCAGCTTGATTAATTTCAACAGCCCGGTGTTACGGAAAGATTTACTGTACAGGGGTTGTCGAGCAGGGAATTAATAAAGAAGCACCAGTTCTTAGCCCTGAGTAACATGAGGTTTTAAGACTTCCCAGATTTCTAGTGGGAATACTTCACAACACAAGCATGTTTTCTTCTGGGAGTGAAACCCACCAAAATTATTAAAAACCAAGATCAAATGGTGGTGTCAAACCCAAAGGAAATCATTCGACAGTGGAGAGATTTTTATCAAATGAAGAAAGCGGAAAATAGAGTTTCTGTTGTTGCTGTTGTGCTTTGGGTTTTTAAGTTTTGTTTGTTGGTTGTTGTTTGGTATTTTTAAAACAGAACATAGACACACAGAGCGTAATCCCTCTCAAAGACAAAGCAAATTTCTATGGTGGGTAGTTTAGAAACCAGTAAATTCACTTGAAAATTCATAAACCATTGAAAACTCTACATTACCCTATGCAGAAAACATTTTCCCTAGCAGAGACTAACGTGGATCATTCTCTAAGATAGTCTTTCCAATATATATATTAAGAAAATAATAATAAAATAAATCTAGGTAACAGCAAGAGCAGAATCCACAAGTATTTTTTCCAACACACACCTCAAACCACTGAATTAGGACCAATTTCAGTTGGACTTCTCTGATGAGACCAGACCCTATG